TTTTATATATATAGAGTCAGCAGGGGTGATCTTAGTCCTTAATAATAGAAGTTCATTGATATAATTGAATAAAATGAAAGGATTGCAACTTTTAGTGATCCCCAACGTTGTGGTAATTACAGAGGTATTAAACTACTCAGTCATACCATGAAGCTATAGGAAAGGGTGATAGAGGCTAGGTTGAGATAAGTTACTAGGGTTTCGGAAAACTAATTTGGTTTTATTCTAGGAAGGTCGACTACGAAGGCGATTCATGATTCATCTACTTCGACGGTTTATGGAGAAATATAGAGAAAAAAATAGAGATCTTCACATGGAGTTAATTGACCTTGAGAAGGCGTATGATAGCGTTTCCCGTGATACGGTCTGGAAGACCTTAGAAACGAGACGGATACCATCTGTTTATATCCGAGCGATTCGTAATATGTACTGTAGATCTACTACATACGTCAGGACTACAGTTGGCGACACCGAGGCATTCCCGGTGAAAATCAGACTCCACCAAGGGTCGGCTCTTAGCCCTTACATCTTCGCCTTGATTATGGACGACATTTATTGTGCGACATCAGACGGTGTCCCATGGTGTATGTTTTTCGCTGACGACATTGTCCTAGTTGTTGAAACAAAAACTGAGCTGAATAGTAGATTGGTTACCTGGAAGACTGCTTTGGAAGAAAAAGATCTAATGATCAATATTGAAAAGACAGAGTATATATGTTCAAACTTCAGTAAGAACCAAACCGATGAAGATGTAGAAGTATGCATCGAAGGACACGTTCTCCCCTCAAAAGATTGTTTCAAGTACCTAGGGTCTATGATACATAAAGATGGGAGTGTAGATGATGACGTTACACACCGTATAAAGGCGGGATGACTAAAGTGAAGGGCTGTTACTGGAGTTTTGTGTGACAAGAAGGTGTCTCAAACTCAAGGAAAAATTTTATAGAATGGCAATTAGACCAGCGTTGCTGTATGAATCAGAATGTTGGGCAATCAAGAAGGATCACATAAGGAGGATGGAGGTCGTAGAAATGAGAATGCTTCGATGACCATGTGGTAGGACTCTGTGGGACATGACATTAAACTCTGCAATTAGGATGTCCTTGGGGGTGGTGACTGTATCCGAAAAATTGAGGGAGGGAAGACTACGGTGGTTTGGGCATGTCCTTAGACGACAATCGTCAGATGCGGTCTGGAGGGTAGAGTCGATTACAGTCGAGGGTGTCAGAAGGAGAGGACGGCCAAGGAGGAAGTGGTTAGAGTGCTTGAGATCAGATTTGAAGGATTTAACCCTTATCGAAGATATGACCTTTGATAGGAAATTATGGAGACTTAAAACCAAGGTAGCCGAGTAGTTGTGGGTCACAGCCATAGGGTGTAGCATCTCTGTCTTCTTTTTAATGTCTCTGTAGTAATTTCTATGACTTCTACTTTTTATTCGTTTCTGTTATTGGAATTTATGAAGGATTAGAATTAGGGTAGCGGAGTAGTGTTGCTTTAGTTTAGATTTTAATCCATTTGACTTTATTATTTCTCATAACTTGCTATCGATGATTTCTGTGTATCCTTCTTTTCATGTTTTCTCTTTCTAAATTTAGCCAGGAATTACGTTACTGTCTATATGCATAGATTTTTACACGGATTTATTTGCAGGGATTACTTTCCATTACAGACGTACGTATGAAAATTGCATATGATGACTGTTCAATTATGTATTTATTAATTTATTTATTTATACATGCATTGGATTTTTATCTTTATTTTTAATTTTTCTGACTGCCGGAGGTTTTCTACGGAAGTTTTTCTCAATCTGGCGTTGGGGGCAGCCTACTACCCTACATCCCCTTACTCCATTGCATATGAGAATAGGGTTTTGTTGTTGTTGTTGTTGTTGTATGATATAGTATGTAACTTTTCATTTTTCTTTAATTACCCTTGCTTGTCATCTATATCCAACACATATTAAGACATGGACATACAGAGATGACCTTCCAAACGTACTTGTGTCTGATACTCAACACTTCAGTAAAGTAACATAGTAATGCAATGCATTGAACCAGGGCTTCGATTTTCTGCCAAGTTAAGTTGTTTGATGTCGGAACTCGGAAATAGGATTTGTTAACTTAAAAGCTTTTGAGTTTTCTAGCATTCCTTTTCTTTCAGCCAACCAACTTGTTTTTGTCTTCTCATTGTTGGTCATGAATTTCATTAGACCCCTTTGCTTTTAAGGGCATGGAGGTATGACACTACACGCCTAATTATTTGTGTTATTTCAGAATGGATTGGATATCAAGGTGGAGAAATCAAGGAAGCAAATGAAGGAAAGGAAGAACAGGGCTAAGAAGATCCGTGGAGTAAAGAAGGTAAGATAAATTTGTTTCTTTCGTTTTTTTCTCATCGTTGTTATAATCGCTTTCACTTTCGAATCATTCATGACCGATGAGGCTGATTTTGCGACTATTTCGCTTGTTTTATGTTTAGACCAAGGCCAGCGAATCAGCAAAGAAGAAGTGAGGTAAAGGAGTGAAGGAAAAGATGTATTTCTCGGTGACAATGTTTTTCAACGGCTGTTGTTTACAAGTCTCAAGTATTTAGGTCTTCTTCCTGCGTAGAATTTGGACTTTTCTGGTAGGAATTTGATCCCCGTACTCTTGGTGTCGGTACAAACTGTAAAATTGCTATTGAAAATCGTTTAGGGTAAATTATATGTCTAGTATCTAAACTATCATTTTTTATTCGTTTATAATCTAAACTTTTAATTATTTCAAAACCATACCTAAATTATCATTTTTGATCCGTTTTTAATTTTTTTAGAAGTTTAGGTATCAAAATAGATTAAAATTGATAGTTTAGGTATTAATCGTGCTAAATTTTTAATAGTGATGTATTAAAATGAAACAAAAATTAAATATTAAGTATTATTCAAAAAAAAAATTGAGAACTAAAATGGATTAAAAATTAGTTTAGGTATTAAATACATAGTTTACCCAATAATTTATTCAAACTCAACGAAAGACGAACGAATATGGGTGTTTTGGTTATCACTTTGGATTGGATCTTGTCGAATTTTCGAGCAAGTTTCGTGGAAGGAAAGAATCTTCCGTATAAAAATATTTCGAAACAAATTTTTTATCACGATGTAATTCGATTTTTTTTTATCTAAGAAAGAGTTTGATTTCTTTCGAAAAATAAATTTTTTTTTATTTTCGTAAATAAAGTATAAACGTGGCATGTGCATCCTTATAAAGGCTATTTTTTTTAATAAAAATAGATATTTTTATTAAGGCTTAATGTAAAAATAAGCATCTAAATTATATTTATTTAACTTTTAGTGTTTAAAGAATTTTTTTTTTGGTAAAAGTAGGTGTCAAACGTTTTTTCATTACACTCTTAGATACTCATTGTTAAAAAATCGTTAAGTAACATGTGTTACGTTTATTATTTTTTGATTTTTCTTATAAAAACAAAATACGATTTAAAATATCTTTTTTTAAAATCTAAATGTGATGTGCCATTTAGTGGATTTTTTATAGTAGACACTTAAAAATATAACAGAGAAAACATAGACACCAAAAGTTAAGTTTAAGTATATTTTGAACACTAACTTTTATATTAAGCCTTTTATTAAAAATAAAAAAATATATTCAAATTACAATAAAGGTATGCAACTGCAATTTTAAACTAATCACATAATAATATTATTTTCTTATGATTATTAATACAAATAAATTAACCACTTAAAATCACACAAAAAAGGAAAAGTTTAAATAACTAACGAAAAATTCAACCGAAAGGTAGATATGAATAGATCTGACCACGTCGACAAACGAATCACAAAAAGAAAATTAAGCTATTGAAAGACTATTGCCTATTGGCAAACGCAAATCAGAATAGAATGACATGATAAAACTATTCACGAACATAAATTGTATTTTCAAATCTAATTCGAGATTTCAAAGGAAGAAAGATAAACGTGATAACAAATACGCGTCATTTTGATCAGTCGTGACGATATTAAATCTAATCATGATATAACGACCAAAAGATCCAAAATGTGTCTAAATATAGAGAAAAATGTGTCATAAAGACGAAGTCATTAAAAATATAATAATAAAAATACCATTAATAAAATAAAAGAGAAATAATGAATATCGACGATCGATGATTAGCACTTAGACACATGTCATCGTTAATTACTAAGATAAAAAAAAACTAAGAGAGAGAGAGAGAGTTTTCAGATATTACATATTACATATTTTATATTTATATTTTTCTTTTGGAAAGTGTAATCCTCTAAAAAGTAATATAAAAAATATTACATATATAATATTTAATAAATATAAATATTAAATTAATTAAAAATAATATTCTTATATTATAAATAAGTATACAAAGTATACTATTTTTTTCATTTAATAACTTAATATATTTTTTTTTGTTAAAATAAGAGTCTAAAGTTATTTTTTTAGTCAAAATAAGTATACAAAGTATTCAATCTTTTAATCTAAATACTTTAAGTACTTATTTTAATAAAAAAATAACTTTAAGTATTTACTTTGATCAAAATGTACTTTAACTACTTATTTTAATAAAAGAGTAATTTTAAATATTTACTTTAATCAAATTATACTTCAAATATTTAGATTAAAAATATATTTTGGGTATTTATTTATAACACAATCATATTAAACAATATAGTGAGTCTTTTTTTTAATTTAAAATTAAAATGAAGTTAGTGGCTGAGAAAAGCCCAGAAACAACCATTACAGACTCCTTCAAGAAAATATAAATTATTTAAAAGACATTGAAAGGAACAATATATATATATATATATATATATATATATATATATATATACATACAAAAGACATTGAAAAGGATAACAAATGAACTGAATCAGCCTCAAATAAAAGTTTTATTATTATTTGCATGTGTTCGAAGTTTTTCTACAACTTATTTTTTTTTTCATTTTTCTCCTCCCAGAGTTTATATAAATACGTGAACAAGCATTGCTTGTTCTCATATCCATCTCTCTGTCATTCTATCTTCTTCTCTTTTTCCCATTTTTCGTTGACTATCCATTGCTTTTGATTAATCCAAGTTCTTAATTTCCATCTTTTTCATCATGGAAGAGACAAAGGGTATGTTTTTCTTTCTGGGTTTTTGTTTTTTTTATCATTCATTGAGATCCTTTCTTTCTCCTTTTGTTGTTTTGTGATCTTCCATGAGGATTTTCAGTGTCACCTTTGCTGAATTTGGGTTAACTCCTTTGCATTTCTAGTTTTAGTATCAGACAGATCAATCGAATTTCTTAATGCCTGGTAGTAAAAGAGGAACTCACTTTTTTCCACAATTTGGTGATTTTTTCCAGTTTTTAGGGTTCAATCATACATTTGAGACTAATATTTGTCTGAATTTTCCATCTTATTTTTAAAAATTTGGTTACAATATCAATGTTTATGTTGCTCCTTTTTGTTTTTCTAATAGTGTTGGAAGCTAAAGAAGGAACAATTGCCGTTGCTTCTGCTTTTCCTGGTCACCAAGAAGGTAATTTTCAACTTTTTAGTAGGATTTAATGTTAAAAAGCTAATATTAATTGGCCTCCTAATAGTAGTCAGCAATAGAATTATTCCGTTGAATTTTACTCTATTGTTTGGCAATGGAGATTTACTTCCATAAAAGGCGAAAGCGTACTTCCATCGATATTCTGATTGGATTTTTACTTTTTAGCTGTGTCACAGTTTGTAGATCAGACTGATGGTTATGGTATGGAATATTCCTTGGATATGCTGTGTCGATCCGGACTCGAGGGTGGGTTAGGACTCGGGTTTAGGAAAAACGAAGAGTCCGGATAATGTAGGTGCTATCCAATGGTAGGTTTTTAGTTTTGTCACAGTTTATTGATCATAGTGATGGCTATCAGGATTGATGATCTGGTGTATTGCTTAGATATGTCGTGTTAATCCATCTTACCCGGACTTGAGGATTAGTGCATGTCGAGTGTTAGACATGGACATGGTTTAGGAAAACAAAAATTCTGGTCTACGTAAGTGTTATCTGATTGTAGTTTCTTAATTCGTGCCACAGTTTTTGGATCATAGTAATGGTTAGTATTATTGATGATCTAGTATATTGCTTGGATTTGCTGTGTTAATCTGTTCCCAGACTTCAAGTTGAGTGCAAATATTTATGTCTTAGATATGGGTTTAGGAAAAACGATGAGTCTGGACAACCTAGGTGTTAATGATTCGTATATACTCGATTGCCGATGTAGACTTCTTGGGAAGACCTCCATGCTTGATCTTTGTTAGATGAATATAAAAATGCTATTTCCTGTTTATTGTTCAACCAGCTGTACAAGATAGAGACCACAAATTCTTAACACAAGCAATTGAAGAAGCATATAAAGGGGTTGAATGTAAAGATGGAGGGCCATTTGGTGCGGTCGTAGTTTGCAACGATGAAGTCATTGTGAGTTGTCACAACATGGTTTTGAAAAACACTGACCCTACTGCCCATGCAGAGGTTACCGCTATTCGAGAGGTCAGATCAAAAGAACATAACAATCAAACAAAACAATTAGTCAAATTGCTCCATCTTATTCGTATGTTTACTTTAAATGTTTGTAAATTTCAATCCCCGAGATCATGAAACGCTTTTAGAGGATTAGATTTCGTTTGTTGATTGTAAGAAAATATGATAGCACCATTGGAAGATATACATATTAACATGCAGGGTTTTTTTTAGCATCATTCTGTGATTTCTACTGGGATTTTGTTCGCCCATCTTTTTATATCAATCTCATAATCTGTTCCGATTTGGTGAAAGTTTATCATCATTAGTTTTCTGTATTTATAAGAGTCGTGATAGTTAATAATTTTGCATATATGTTCCTCGAGATTAGGTGGTAATAAATGAAAATTACTACATCCGTGCGAATACACGACTGATTCATCTCGATCGCAATTGCTGTTGGTTAAACATAGCTATATAAGAATGTTTAGTTACTACAAGGTCGAAATAATCGATGTTGAAATCCATGTTTTACATTCACTAATGCTTGGAGCATCTATGTCAGTCATGCAAGAAGCTGAATCAGATTGAGCTCTCAGACTGTGAAATATACGCTTCATGTGAGCCTTGCCCAATGTGCTTTGGGGCCATTCATCTATCGAGAATCAAGGTTCGTTCGCCAAAACTATTTCTTAATGTATATGATCTTTTGCCGGGCAAAAGAGGCTGCCGTTTTAAGGATAAAAAGGAACGGGGTCGTTGCAGAGTTGGAACTCTCTTTAATCTTTTATTTTTCCTCCTTTTTGGAACAGAGGCTGGTTTATGGAGCCAAAGCAGAGGCAGCCATAGCAATAGGGTTTGATGATTTCATTGCTGATGCATTGAGAGGTACTGGTTTTTACCAGAAGGCTAACTTGGAGATCAAGCAAGCCGATGGAACTGGTGCTGTGATTGCAGAACAAGTATTTGAGAAGACTAAGGAAAAGTTTACCTTGTACTAATTTCTCACAGTTCCTTTTTAAATCTTTCACAACTGAAAACAGCTTCAAGTTTATGTTAAAATTGTACTTTTTCAAAGTCATTAATTGTATTTTTTAAATAAAATTATTAATAATATATATATATATATATATAAGATTTTTACGTATTTAAAGGTTAGGTCCAAGTTCAAGTTTAGCTTCAATAGAGTTAAATTTGAGAATATTTCGAGTTTGAGTTTTTTTTTTTTGAGCTCGATTCGAACTTCAAATTTTGATTTCGAATTCGAGTCAAACTCGACAATTTTAGACCCACAAACCTTCAAATCGAGTCAAGCTCAATAATACTCAAGCTCTACTCGACTAGTTTACGACCCTAGGTGAAGCCACCTAGTGAGATTATGGTCGAACCTGTTAGGCCAATGGCCAAATCACCACCCACATATGGTGGTCCAGTCCCAAAAGGGAATGACTGTGCACTTGACTGCCCTAAAGATATAATTGAACCACATTTAGAGGCACATCAGGTATGGGAATCAAATAGAGTATGACCTGTTTTAGTTTGTATTACTCAAATATGGTGAAGCCTATTGGTAACGGCTGTTTATCTCATGGGAAAATATTAATTATTATTTAATAAACTTAATTTTTTTTTATAGATTTTATGATTTAGCGAATAAAATATTTTTTTTGAAATTAAATTTTAAATACATATAATGTTACATTTTAATAATAAATGTGAAATCTATAAAGAATTTGACATTATTTGATATTTTTATTAGTACAATGATTAAACTAAACCATTTAATAATAGAAAGATCTAATAAATACTTTCACAGTTTCAATTAAACATATATAAATTAAATTGCCTATAATTAAAATAAAAATATTATATTTTCATATATATTAATTATTAATTAATTTAACCAAATAAAAATATATTTTATATAAAATGTTTAAATTTGAATTTCGGGATATGAATGAAATAAATTGGGTTGATAAAATTAATTTTATGCTAAATTACTATTAATCTTAATATAGATGAATCAATCAACGAATATAATATTAAATATTATGGTGAAATACACAAATGGTCCTTTGACTATACGACATTGCTTTGTTGAATCCATTGACTATTAAAAGTTACAAAATGATCACCAACTATAAGATATTATTTTCTTAAGTCCTCTGATTATCAAAAGTTATAACATAGTCAAATAACTATTCATATATTCCAAAAGCATCATTTTCTATTAAAAAATGACGTTCGTTTGAGGTGAACTTTAACATGTTTACTGAGATATGATAAAATCATATTTTAATGATATCAACTGACACCTTTATTGCTTTCAAGTATTGGCTCGACAAAGTAATGTTTCAAGCACAAGCTCAACGTTATATTATAAACAAAGATTTGATTCACAAAATACAACTAAAATGATTATGGGATCAAATTTTATCATATTCCAATCAAAATGTTAACATCCATCTCAGAAGATTGTCATTTTTTAAACTGAAAATGACGAGTTTAGAACATATGGATAGCCGGATTGCTATTTTTTAATTTTTAATGGTCAGATGACTTAACAAAGCAACATCATATAGTTGTGAGACTTTTATAACCTTCAATAATCGGGTACTCAACAAAGCAACACACTATAATCGGGATTATTTGTGTATTTTATCCTAAATATTATATATCAAGGTACAATAAGACTGGAATGGACACTTGGATCTAACTCAAACCAGGTTTACCCAGGTAAAAAAAAGCCTATTACGAGAATCTATTGCATTCTACTGGTACACACAAAAAACACTTCCCTCACCTTATCCGAACTCATTAAACAATTTATTTGGGGTTACGAGAAACATTTCTTTGTTTTTATTAACTTTGCTAAAACTTTGAAATTGTAGGGTCTTTAATATAATAATTAGAATATTTTATATGTTTTTAACAATTTATGAGAATTATATTAAAATTAAAATATAATTATATAAAATCCATATATTACATTTTTTTAGGGTTAATTCCATATTACTTTCTTTCAATTTTTATTCTATTATTCTTCAATCATCAACAACCCCCTTTTATTTATTTTCTTTGCCGATTCACGCCTAGTCTTAAAACAAGATCAATTCATAGGCAATTATGATATTTCCTACGGATCGACCCTTATTCTCCCTATTCCATTTTTTTGAGATTAAGGATATAAATTTATTTGACAATTAAAACGACGCGTTGTCAGTGAAAAACAAATATGGTTCCATCCTCAGTATCTTTCCGAAATCTGGTGACTTTAAAAGTAATTAGTTGTGATGGAATCATAAAACTAATTACACATACGACAATCAAAGTCTAGCGCAGCTCAGAGAAATGAGTATAGAATATTGCAGAAATATAGAAGAAATAATACAAGGCGGGGATGATGATGAGTATGGTGATGAAATCAGTTTCCTCCAACTCAACATTTTGAAACTTGTATCTCTATCAAAGCTGGATCAGGGAATTGTACCTTGGGGTTCCCATCCTTAAAACTGTTGTTGTGGGAGGTCGTCCGAAGATGAAGATGTTCTCCGGAGGACACTTAAACACTCCAATGTTGCACAAAGTGGTGTCACGTGAGGGGGAAATGAAGGGGGAAGGCAGCCCTAATAGAACCATACAACGGATGTTCCAAGCAGAGGTATATGCGATGTTCCAAATTTCCTTATTGTTTAATTAGTTATTTGGTTTTACATTTCACTCCCGACTATGTTCTTGAATCAAAACCAAAGAATTAGAATGAAAAGAGCCATAGCATGACATGTGTAAACACTAAGTTTTTGTCCCATTTTTTTTATTATCATTATTATTTTTATTTTTATTATTAAATAATAAATATAAATAAATTTACAGCCCATATTACAAAGGAAGCCCAACCCCAAGCTTAACAGACCCAAATTACAAATAGGACTCGGATCCAAGTCGGGTTGACCCGATACCCGACCCGGTCTAGATAACCCAACAAAACCTGATTAGGGTTTTCAACCGCCAGCTTCAACAACCGTTAGATCTGGTATGATCCAACCGTCCAGATCTCTTTCAGCAGAAACCCTAGGGTGATTTTCGGCGTCGCCTTCAACCACTCCTAACTGCTCCGTCGTTGTGTTCCCTAGTAAGCTGCTGCCACGACACCAACGTCACACCGAAGCCTCCTATGGCCTCCTAAGCACCACATACGTTGCAACTTACCAAGGGTCACCCTTATGACGAGAGCCGGATTGATGGCTTATAAAAGGCCATCCATCGATCCTGCAAGGGAGAGGAGACATCAACCAAAAGAGACGAAGAGAAGGCAAGAACGACAACCACAACAACACCGAATAGAAAAAAAGAAAGAAAAGGGAGATCGAATACACACAGCAACCATATCAACAACCAACAGCAAAAATAAAGGAAACAAGAAAAGAAGAAAGAAAACTTACCCCGCTCGCCAGAGATCATCGTTGAAACCGAGGTAAAGCTTTAAGTTTTGTTTAGATCTAGGTTTATTTGGAAGCCTTTAGGAAAAAAGAAGGCCATATTCGGGAAGAGGGCAAATCAAGGATCGATTTGATGTAAATTTTTTAATTCCGGCCACCGTGGATGGTGGCCGGCCGGTGGCCGGATTCCCTCCGGTGATGGAATCTTAGAGAGAGGCGAGAGAGATTTCAGTTTCTCTCTCCTAGAGAGAGAAACAGAAATGAAAAAAAATGAAGAAAGCTTGGCCCTTAGGGCCGAATTGTGGGTTTAAATACTCCTCCCCGAATGACGTCATTTTGGGGAGTTGTGCGTAATTTTGCACATGGTATAATTACTTCGGTGATTCCTGCATGTTATAAAATTTGCAATTTGGTCACCTAAATCAAATTTTTACAGTATTTAATTTTGTATTCGAATTTTATTTTATATTATTTTAGTCACTAATTAATAGTTATATATATTTAAGTAAAATATCTTATTTAATCCCTAAAATTTTAATATTTTTTATTTTGATCCCGAATTAATTAATTATGGATAAATTATACTAATAATACCTATATTTTATATTATTTCGAATTAAAGCCTTTAATTTTAATATTTTATATTTAATCCCTAATAATTTAAATAGTTTTTATTTTCAACCATAAATTTTATTATTTTTATTTTATTATATGTTTTTATTATTTTAGTTACTAATTAATATATATATATATATATATATATATATATTAAAGGTAAAATAATCTATTTAACCCCTATTATTATTATAATTTATATTCCAGTATTGATATTTATGGTTAAATTACACTAATAGTATTTATATTTAATAATAATTTGAATTAGGACTATTAATTTATATATTTTACAATTTAATCTTATATTTTTATTTTTATCACTATTTAATTGAAATTTTATATTATTTTTATTATTACCCTTTATGTTTAATTTTTTAAAATTAAGTCTTTTAATTATTATTTATTATAAATATATATTTTATTAAAAGATAATATTTATTCATTTTTAAATATTAAAAAAAGGTTTGTCTTACAGTAACTAGATGTTTTATTCTGATATTTTAAAATAAATAAATACCTTATTTATAAAAAAAAAAAAAAATGTCTATTTTAATTATATTTATTTTGATTATTTTAATATTAAATTCTTAGAATTTTCTCAATTAATAAAATTATGTGATTGAATTTAGAATAATAAGATCGTAAATTAAATTTATACTCGAATTCTTAGATTTATGTTATTAGAGACAATTTATAATCAACAGATACCAATTTTGGGCGTTGGGGGGTGTTAATCCTTCTCCAAATGTAGCCCACCACGAATCCATTTTTATTAAAAAGAATTAATTTTTGGTTATACGCAGATCGATTTATCTTTTAAATAGTGTTTTTTTAAAAAAATTTTAAAAGATGATTTTTAGGTATTCGACCTACCTAACCCAGAAGGTTCGATGGTGAATCCAAAACATTTCCTTAAAAGTCATTTATTTATTCACCTTACTTTTCCGCCAAGAAACATTCATGTCCGAGCGAAAATCGGTTACGATAGCTTGGCGACTCCGCTGGGGATCCTGGTCAAACCTAAGTCGATTA